CACACGCTGGCTACGGATCAGGGTCAGAACGCTTTCTGTTCTTGCTGCTTTTGCGATGCTTCTTTTCCAGTAGCTCTGTGCATTCCAGCCAAGAATGCTGTTAAGAGTTTTTTGTTCTCCGCTTGTAGTTTGATGAAATCGAATGTCACCTCATCTGCACACATAGTGTGGAGTGACACACCGTGTTCGTGCATGCTGGTCAGGCCCGGCTCAAAACAGGCAAAGCAAACTCTATAAGGAAAACCTGGCAATACCACTCTCTGTTTCTTCAAAGCTTTGTGTTAAATACATTTCATCTCCTCTGTCCCTGTACACAAGGAGTGATGTCACATGTTCATTCACATCGAGAAGGCTTGACTCGAAACAGCTGTTGACTCACAGCTTGGTACTTTAAAATACATTTCATCTACTGTATTAGTGTCTCCTTTCCCTTTGTATCTGAAACAGGATGCTTTCCCCTGTTTACTGTGGCAATTCCAGAATTACCACTCTCAGTAGAAACCTGTTGTAATTGTTGTAATAAACAACAGCCAATGAAACTCCAAATGAAAAGACTTTTTCACAAGGAGCTGGAGTGTGTGGCTCTCTTATTCCCTGTGGGTTTGTAGATGCTGATCCATTGACAGTCCCTCACAGACAGACTGCAGTCCAGTGAAAGTGTCTCTTTCTGTTACAGAGAGACTCTAACCCCCCTGAAGAAGAGAGAAGCCCAGGAGAAGCTCAGCTCAATAAGGAGTCTGACTGATGGCAGGTTCCAGACCTGAAGAGAGCAGGAACACTCACTCCTACTCACTCTCAATCCCACTCAGTCCAACTCCCACCCACTGTCAACCACTGTCAACCACTGACTCCCACTCCCACCCACTGACTCCCACTGTCACCCATAGACACCCACGGACTCCCACTGTCACCCATAGATACCCACTGACTCCCACTGTCACCCACAGACACCCACTCCCACCCACTGACTCCCACTGTCACCCATAGGCACCCACTATCACCCACTGTCACTCAGTGTCACCAGCACCCACAGACACTCACTGTGAGGTTGTGCGTCTTGTTTGGTGGTGAGAAGTGTAACTTGTTTTCCAACTCGTAGACTGTCCCACCAGAGGAAACAACACACTAGACCTTGTTTATACTAATGTACCCGGTGCTTACAAAGCAGCACCTCACCCCCTCCTGGACAATCTGACCACATCTCCCTGTTCCTACTCCCAGCCTACTTACGACTTCTCAAATGCACCAAGGGTTCAGTTCTAGCTGTAAAAACATGGACCAAAGAGGCAGAATCAATGCTTCAGGACTGTTTTAAGTGCACAGACTGGAGTGTGTTCAAAGATGCAGCCTCCCACGGATCCCACACCGATATTGACATGTCTGCATCATCAGACACCAGCTACATCGGCAAATGTGCTGATGATGTGGTGA